AAGAGGGTCCACGGCTGCCTCACCCCGCTCTCCTCGCAACCGCAGTCCGGCGGCGTCGTCTACGCGGATCAGAACAGCGGTGTGGTCTCGATAATCGACTCCGATGTGAGGGACTGCTCGGCTGGCAATGTGCGCCGCGTAGAGCTAGCCGCCTCCCTGCACCGCTGCACGGCAGCGGGGCGAAAGATCGAGAGGGCCACGGCGCCTCACTCCGTGCTCTCTCCTCGCAACCGCAGTACGGCGGCGTCGTCAGGGTGGATAACAACGGTGTGGTCTCGATAAGCGGGTCGAACATGACGAGCTGCTCTGCTGGCTCTGTGCGCCGCGTAGAGCTAGCCGGCCTCCAGCAGCGCCGCACGGTAGCGGGGCGAGAGATAGAGAGGGCCACGGTTGCCTCACCCCGCTCTCTCCTCGCAACCACAGAAGGGCGGCATCGTATACTGGGCGAGCAGCGATTCGATGGGGGGGGGGGCGGTCTCGATAATCGGCTCGGCCGTGACGGGCTGCTCTGCTTGGGTGCGCCGCGTAGAGCTAGCCTCCCTCCAGCAGCGCCGCACGGCAGCGGGGCGAGAGATGTAGAGGGTCACGGCTGACGCACCCCGCTCTCTCCTCGCAACCGCAGTCCGGCGGCGTCGTCTACGCGGAGGGCGGCATCGTCTACAGAGCCGTGGCCCTCTCCATCGCGGTTGTCGCCTTCATCGACAACAGAGCGAGCGGGTCAGGCTCGGTGCTGTACCTTTCAAACACGCCCTCCTCGATCAGCGCCGCCTCCTTCACCGGCAACACCGCTGGCGACGACAAGACGATACAGACCGACAAGCCGATAGACTGGGACTGCCGCTTGGGCAGCTGGATGCCGACCGAGGGTGCCTTTAAGGGCGACTTCAGCGTTCCCGAGTGCAACCTCTGCCCTGCTGGCTACTATGGGAACAGGAGCGGCCTCACCAACTCCTCCTGCGATGGTGCGTGTAAGCGAGGCCATTTTTGTCCCAAGGGCACAGCGGAACCGCTCCCGTGTGCTCCGGGCTTCTACATGCCCGTGATTGGCGCAGCCAGTGCCGAGTCGTGCCTCCCTTGCTCTCCGGGGACGAGCCAGTCCACAGCCGGCACGGACCGTCCCTGCGACGAGTGTCCTCCCGGCACGTTCGCCGATCAGCTCAACGCCACCAGCTGCACCGACTGCCCCGCGGGACGCTTCTGCCCGAATGCAGGCACCGTCCAGCCCCTCGACTGTGCCGCAGGGCAGTACCAGAACCTCACCGGCCAGGCTGCGTGCGTGCAGTGCCCTGCTGGCGAGTTCCAGGCGGAGCGCGGACAGACGGCATGCGACACGTGTGAAGCGGGTGGATACTGCGAAGTCACAGACGACTGTGGCGGCGGCTTCACGCCCTGCCTTGCGGGGAGCTACAACGAGAAGACGGGCAGCAGCTCACCAGATGCCTGTCAGAAGTGCCCCCCCGGTACCTCTAGCCCGATCACCGGCGCAGTCAGCAGCGAGACGTGCGCGAGCTGCCGTGCTGGGACATTTGGCGGCGAGCCCGGGCTGAGTGAGTGCGAGCTGTGCGCCGAGGGCTACTACCAGAGCGAGGCCGGCCAGGCCGCCTGCGTCCGCTGCGCTCCCGGCAAGTTTTGCCCGGTGGGGTCGTCGCGCGAGCTGGACGCGCAGTGCTCGCCTGGCACGTACGCCAGGCTGACCGACCGGAGCGGCGACCCCGAGTGCCTCACCTGCCCCGCCGGCTCGTCGTGCGGCGGCGGGGCGGCGCCGCCCTCCGAGTGCTCGCCGGGCTCTTTCGCCGCCACGGCCGGCCTCTCCAAGTGCGCCAGCTGTGCGGGCGGGACGTACCAGGGCGAGTCGAACACGACGAGCTGCCTTCCGTGCGTGGAGGGCAGCTACTGCGCCGAGGGCGCGTCGGCGCCGCTGCCGTGCGAGGGCGGCAGCTACTCGCGCGCGGCCGACAACGACGAGCCGGACGACTGCACGCCGGCCGATGCTGGCTTTTTTGCGGTGACGGGCTCCACCGAGCAGACGCCGTGCTCGCCAGGCACCTTCACCGCCCTCGCCGGACAGAGCATCTGCGAGAGGTGCCCTCGCGGCACGTCCTCCGGCGCCGGCAGCTCTTCCTGCGACGAGTGCGCTGCCGACACTTACTCCGCCAACGAGGGCCAGGGCGAGTGCATCCCCTGCCCCTACCCTCTTGCTAGCGGCACTGGCAGCGTCACCTGCTCCGTCTGCAAGGCGGGATTCTACCTGAAGGCGAGCGTCGATCCGGATGACGTCTTCAAATCCCCAACCAAGTACTGCGTCCCGTGCCCGCCGGACGCCGCGTGCCCGGTCGGCACGACCCTCGAGACCCTCGGCGTCCCGCTCGGCTTCTGGCGCGCCAGCTTCTCCAGCGCCGAGCTCACAGAGTGCCGCGCCTTTGGAGGGGATGGCCAGGCGGGCCAGGCGCGGTGTGTCGGCAATGTTGATCCGGGAGAGGCTAGCGGTCGGAGGGTGCAGGAGGCCGGCTTGGACTACTGCGCAGACGCCTTCGCCGGCCCCGAGTGCCAGCTCTGCCGCGAGCCGAACCACTACCTGGACGCCGACGGCGCCGCCTGCAACGAGTGCGTCGCTGTCGGCACGGCGGCGGGGCGCATGGCGGGCACCGCCCTCGGCCTCTGCGTCGCGTTTGGCCTCGTGGCGTTGGCGTACTCAGTTCAGCGCGGGCAAACCGAGTGGAGGAAGGAGCGCTTCATCGGACTTCCCTTGCGCATCGCCGACCGCACCGGCGACGCGATTTACAAAATCGGCCTCATCCCCAAGTTCAAGATCTTGTTTGGCTTCTACCAGGTCTGCCTCGTCCTCTCCACCACCTACTCGGCGCGGCTGCCGGAACGGTACACGGGCTGGACGGAGGCGCTGGCCGAAGCCGTCTTCATCGACTGGTCGGGCATCGTGCTGCCGGTGCAGTGCCTGCCGCACAAGTCCCGGCTCGTCGCCGTCGCGATCTCTCCCATCGGCGTCATCGCCCTGCTCCTCTTTGCTGGCATTGTCTTGCGGCTCTGTGCTCGCTGGCGGCGTGCTCGGCGAGGGGCTGCGGAGCCACCGACGGCGCTAGCCGAAACTGACGATGCGGCGGTCTTTTCATGGCCTGCAGAGGTGGCGCTCGGCCTCCTCGACCTCACGCCGGCGGGTCTCGTGCTCATCTTTCTCTTCGTGCCGTCTGTGAGCGCCACGATCTTGCGCGCGTGGTCGTGCCAGGTGCTAGCCACAAACAAACAAGCCCCCCCCCCCCGCCCCTCTCCCCCCAAAAACTTAGCTGTGTCGATGTGCGTGCGCAGGGCTACACCACCTCTGCGCCGGGCGAGACGCTCGCTCTGGTCGAGTACATGCGGCAGGACGCGAGCGTCGAGTGCGGCACCGACGAGCACGACTCCATCACGAGGCTCGCCATCGGCTTCGTCGTCATCTGGCCGGTCGGCTCGCTAGTCCTCTACTCGGCCCTTCTTCTCGCATGCTACAAGCCGCTGCAGGCCAAGTCGCCGAACGCGCTGACGAAGGCCACCGCCTTCCTTCACCGGGAGTACAAAAGGAACTGGTACTGGTGGGAGGCGGCCGATCTGGCCCGCAAGCTCTTTCTGACGGGCTTCGTGCTGCTGGTTGCCGAGGAGGAGGACTCCTTTGTTCGTCTCGTCGTGGCGGTGCTCGTGTGTTCGTGCTACGCCGTCGCGATCGCCCTGGTCCAGCCCTACAAGCGGTTCGAGGACAACATCCTCGCCGTGGTGCGCCCTTCGCCCAATCCCACACGCCCTTTGCGCTTGCTTGTGCTGCAGCTCTCAGCACACGCTTGGATCGCCGTGGCCAGTCCATCACCCCACCCCACACACGCCCTTCCCACTGCAGTCACTCTGAGCCCAACGGACGCGGCTCGCACTGCAGGCCACCAGCCTCGTCCTCCTCCTCCTCTTCCTCGGTGCCAGCTGGACCACCATCTTCCTCAACATCGAGTTGCGATTCCCCGGGGACGAGCCGGGGCAGTCGGCCTCCGCCGTCCTCGGCTTCAGGTCTGAGAATGGACTGGTGAACTGGATGCTCGTCCTTGCTGCGGCTGCGCTCCTGATCTTCCTCGTGGGTACCATCATCGCCATCCGCCGCCTTGCCAAGGTCCCCACGATTCGCCTCGTCTTAACCAAGCAGCCCCCCGAGCTGGCTCTGGTGGACGGCCTCACGTGGCACCTCTTCCTCTCGCACATCTGGTCAGTCCTGTGGTCAGAGGGAGACGCGGCGTAGGAGAACCCGCCAGAACGACCCGCCACTCCCCGAATAGGTCCACCGGCCAAGACGCCGTCGCGGTCATCAAGAATGAGCTTAAGCTCTTGATCCCCGGCATCAAGATCTTCCTCGATGTGGACGATTTGAAGGACATCGGGTCGCTGGAGGATTACGTTGACCGCACGCAGGTCATGCTCTTCTTCCTGTCGAGGGGCTACTTCCGCTCGAAGGCACTCCCCCAGCCCCCCTCCCTTTCCGAGAGTGCCTCGCTGTGTCGCCCACGACTACTCGTGCGCTCCTTGCCTGCAGAACTGCCTGCGCGAGATTCGGACGTCGCTCGAGAAGAGCAAGCCGCTCGTCCTCGTGCAAGAGGCGGACCCGGCCAAGGGCGGCGGGACGCTGCAGGCGCTCCCCGCCCACCCCCAGCTCTGACCCTGCGGGGATTGCTCTCGCCACACACGGCTCTGAGGGGCGGTGTCGCCGCCGCCGCCGCACGCCAGCACTCACTCACGCACACCGTCGCTGCACGACTGCAGGAGTTGCGAGCACAGTGCCCGGAGGTCCTCCAGCCGGAGATCTTTGACAGTGGGTGGGCGCAGACGACGTGGCACCGCATCGACGAGTATCAGCGTGTCTCGCTTAAGATCATCTCCGAGGTGCCGCCACGGACAACTCCCTGCAGCTGTTCTGCCGTCGCCTCCACCTTGACCGCCGCCCCCTCGCACCTACCCTCAGGCGCTCCTCCTCTGCTCGCCACACTACCTGAACCTGACCTCCCTCCCGCTCTTCATCCCGGGCGAGGTCCAGGGCCAGCCGATCTCCTTCTCCAAGTCCGTCGTGCTCTGGGCCTCGCCGTTCGATGAGGGCGCAGACGAGCTGGCCAGCGAGCTCGCCACCAATTTCTCCGGTCTCACCGTCTCCACCGCCGAGGAGGCGGGCGACGCCACGCACATGCTTCTCTATCTGAACGCCGACACCTGGTCCGACGAGCGGCTGGCCGAGCAGGTCAAGCAGGCGCGCCAGGACAGGCTGAAGATCGTCATGGCGCACGAGAACGACCTCGACCGCGGCGGCTGTGAGTTCGCCAAGTTTTTTGAGACCACGCCGCAGGAACGCTGCCGATCAGCGGTCGATCTTTTATGTCCCGCCCGCTCCATGCCCCCCTTCCCCGCCGCCGCAGGAGCTCATCAACGCCGGGCTCTACGACGCCCTCGCCATTGCCTGCTTCCCTGGCCTGCACCATGAGGTGCGCTCCCCCGGCGGCACCTTTGCCACAGCCCCCGCCTCCTGAAGCGACTGATCTTGCACCCCCGGTCTCACAGGTGTCGCTCGTGCTGCTGGCCAAGGCTCTGGGCGCAACCCCGGTGAGCGCTCGCTCGAGCATCCGCGACTCGCTTTCGAATATCGGGCGCTTCACTACCGTGCCTCGCGGCTCGACGACGTCCGACCCAGTCGTTACCGAGGAGGATTCGCAGCTGGAGCAGCTGCCAGAGGTGGAGCAGGTGTAGAGGTGACGAGCAACTTTGCAGTTCGGCTCAAGCGGCAAGGGTTGGATCGCGCTAACCACTTCCAGGAGTGCGCTGCGTTGGCATAGGGCGTTTTATGTAACATGCTGAGGCTTCCTCGTAACGACGAGCTAATAGAGACGACTCTCTCTCATCCCCACTGTGAACAGTCGGGATCTGTATTTGCGCAGCTAAATGTATAGAACTTTACAACAAAATGTATAGAAAACGCTAAACGGCAGGGAGTTCAATGAATAGTATGGGCACCCTCCCTCTATGGGATAGCGTCAGGGCCGCGGTAATAGTCAAAACCCCTCACAGCGAGCCAGCGGCTGGCCTTCGACTCATCGCCTCGCGCTGCTCGTCCTCGTTTCGCCGAGCAGCGCGAAGCAGCTCCATGGCCGCGCTGCGCCGCGGCCTCCTCCGCCCCGGCCAGTTGAGGGCCGCAGGGGCGGAGCTCGCCTCGCCGGCCGCCTCCTCCCGGCCAGCATACCCGCCGGGTGCTGCGTATGTGGCGCCGGCGTCGCCGCTGGCCATCCCGGCTGCCGCCGGGCTCTCGTCGCCAGCCCTCGCGCTGTGCCGCTCCCTTGGCTGTGTCGGAGCGGGCTCGCAGGTCAGCGGCGCGTCCCCAGCCTCGCCGCCGTCCCCCTCGACGCCGCTCCCCTCGTCGCCGGTGGCGACCGCGCCGCCGATGTCGGTCGCGCTGGCCGGCAGCGCGTCCGCAGCCTCGTCGCTGCCCTCGCCGTCGCTGACCTCGCCGCTGGTGGGGGCCGCGCCGCCGGCGCCGAGCGTCGCCCGCCTCCACGACACTTCCTCTAGGTTGAGCCGGAAATCCTGGTCGGGGTAGCCATCGTACTCGACCGCGTGCACGAGCCGGCCGTCCGAACCCTCCTCTCGCCCCGTGATGGTGCCCGGCCACCACCTGTGCTCGCCCAGGATCTCCACGTGAGTGCCTGCCTTGACGACGGCGTGCCCGGCGATCCTCGCCGCCGCGTCCAGGCGCAGCCGCTTCCGCCGCGCCGTCTTAGACTCCGCGGGCTGCGGCAGCGAGTAGTTCGGGCCATACTCCGCCACGCCCGCGAGGACCTCGGCCGCGCTCACCGTCTCGACCGCGGCCTCGACCGGCGGAGGGGGGAGCTCGACCCGTCGTTCGACCCGTCGTTCCGTGACCTCCCGCGCCAGCCGCTCGCCAGCGAGGGGTCCCTGATGCGGCGCCCGTCGGTGTCGACGCGCCCTCGCCCCTGCGCGCCACCAACGACGCCGTCGCTGTCCTCGCCGACGTGACCGTGATCCGAGGCCGCCCATCCGCCATTATGGTGTGATGCAATCCGACACTGAGCTGCCCCCCCTGTCCCCCCCCTGGACACGTCCCTCCCTGTCCTCTCGACTCGTTCCTCTACTTATATATACATATTAGTGATGCCGTGTGGACGGCAGCATGGCGCGGGCAGCGACGAACGCACAACTCTTGAACCAACTCCGTCTCCGTTTCAGTGCCAAAAGCCACACAAATTACCCGACGCCCCGTCCTCAGCGCAGCCGCGTCCAGCCCGCGCCGCCCGTCCTGGCGTCGCCCCGCCCGGCCACGCCTCTCGCCGGCGGCGGCGGCCCGGGCACGGGCAGCCGGCCACGGAAGGCGGCCGGCGGCGTGGGAGGCGCGGGGCGGAGGGCGGAGGCTGGCGCGCCGGTGGCGGGCCTACAGGGAAAGGTACCGGAAAGGTCCGGGAAAGGTCCGGGAAAGGTCCGGGAAAGGCTCCGCCGGTGGCGGGCCTGCTCGGTGCGTGCTTGAGGGCCACCGCACTCGCCCGCGGCAGGCAGCCAAAGGTCGAGCGCCACATCCGCCTCAGGACTGCGCGCTGCTCGGTCGCCTGATTACCCGCGATTCTCCGAGATTACCCGAGATTTGCCGGTCTGGTCGATCTCGGCGATCGTCAACGGCGTCGAGTCTCAGCTAGCTGGGTCGCCTCTGCAAGCTCCGCCAGCGAGATGCCCTGGAAGATGAGGCCGAGGAGCAAGTCGAGCGCAGACACCTCCTCCTCCTCGCAGCTGCCTCCAGGCAGTCGCGCGGCGCCGCACCCGTTCGCCCAATCAAGACCGAAGGCGCTGCCGTCACTCCTGACGCCCCCGCCGCCGCCGTTTCCGTTGACGGGGCGGCCGCCGCCCTCGCGGACGGATGCGCCGGCGAGCGCCTCAGCCTCACGCGCCACCTCCAGCTTCCACTTGAGGGACTTGTGGCACCTTGCCGCCCGCAGCTTGAGCTCATCGACGACCTCCCACTCGGACGGCTCGCGCACCGCGCGCCACAGCTCGCGCAGCGGCACGCCGCCGCAGATCGGAGGGTAGAAGATCACCGACACGACCGCGCCGCCACCGCGCTCCGCCTCCATCGCCTCGCGCTCGGCGCCGCAGCTGCGACGCTCGGCGTGGCGGCAGTGGCCCGAGGCGAAGAGGTTCTCGGAGCGGGCGAGGAACTCGTCCTCGCCGCCCAGCGCCTCCAACACCATCGTCCGCGCCTGCTGCATGTCTGTGACGGCGCCGCCCGCCGACGCGGCGACCGCAGCGAGGTCAACGAGGAGGACGGGCTCGTCCAGTCCGTCGTCGCCGCCCGCCGCCGCGGAGACGGGAGGGCGGAACGCCTCCTCCTCTTCCTCGCTCTCGCCTCCTAGCGAGGCGAGCGAGGCTGCCGTCTCCCACGAATGCTCCATGCCAACGCGGCTAGTACTGGCTGGCTCGGTGGGAAGCGCACGCGCTCTGCAATGGCCCCCTCCGTACTCACACGCGGGCGGCTGGCGCGAGGGCGCGAGGGCGGGGCACGTGATCAACGAGTGGGTTGCGGTTGAAAATGCCTGGATCCCATCACTGAGCCGACGATGCTATGGGAAGCCCCAGGGTGGCGCCCACCCCCATACCCTCAGGCACTTGCCTGCGCCCTGCCCGCGCACGCCGCGCACGCGCGCGCACGCCCGCGCACGCCGCGCACGTGACAGTAAGCCAGCGCAAGTGTGCGCACGTGCGCGCACGTGCGCGCACGCCCCGCGCACGCCCGCGCACGTGCGCGCACGTGCGCGCACGCCCCGCGCACGCCCGCGCACGCCCGCGCACGTCCGCGCACGCCGCACTACGCGGCACTGCCCAGGTTCCCTCACGCTCAGATTCCCTCACACTCAGATTCCCTCACGCTCAGATTCCGTGCAAGGGGGTGCCGAGGTATGAGGGGGGAGTGAGTGTGAGGTGGTGTAATGTTGTCCCGTTTCAGGCGGCAGGTCAGGGGATTAGCCGGGAGGATTCGGCAGCTCAGCCGGGGGCTGAGCGTCTGCAGGCAGCCTTCCGCCCGCGCCGAAATTCACCGCCCTCCCGGGCCGACGGGGTGCTCCTTGGATCGGGCCCCGCCCACACACACAAAGTGGTGGGGCAAGGGGGGGCGACCCTCGCATCTCCACACCCGGACACGGGCAGGAGCCCCGCGGCACACACGGCGTCTCCACACTACAGTCATCGAAATCTCTTCTCTTAGAGATTGAGAGGAGCGAGACCTGAAGATTTCACGGCAGATCTCAGTCTCTAGTCCCGCCGGCTTGAGATCTCCCAAACCTTCGTCGAGATTTCAGCCACAAATCTCAGTTTTAGCCCCCCGCTACCCGGTTGTGCACTCGTGCGACGTAGCGGGGGGCCACAAGTAGTCCCGCGAGGTGTGAATTGGCCGCCCCAGTAGCCCCATTTCCACCGGGGATGCTTTTCGTGGCAAACCTCGTCACAAGCTTTGGCGGCAAAGCAGATTTCACGGGCGTTCGGAGTGCCTGGCTCAAACCCGTCATGCTTTCCTTCGGTCTCGACTTGAGTGCCGCTCGACTGGCCGATGAAGAGCGACCCGTACGACGCGCACTTGTCGTCCTCCCTCCTCGCCACATGACGGCCGCCCCCCGACACCGACAGTCGCGCTCCGCACGCCTTCGAGGTCAGCAGCGGCCGAGCGACGATCGGCTCGCCTCCGATCGCTGGGCGCGGTCACTCTGCGGCCCATCACCCGCCTGCCGATCACCTGTCCGCCTCGCCGCGCGCGGGCCGCTCGCCTGCTCGCCACCGCCGCCGCGTTTCCCCGCGCTGCCACGCTTCCCTGCACCTGACGGCGCTCGAGCTGCGCACAGACGGCGCGCTCAGGCAGACAGAGCAGCGGCCGCCCAGGCGGTCGCTGCTCCGCCCCGTCCGAGTCCGTCCGCCCGCGCTGATTCGTAGACCATCTGCGCAGCGCCTCGGAGAGGCGCGCAGGAGGCGCGCTTTGTACTCGGGTTTGGATGGTAGCGGGGGGCCCCGCCGGAGGCTGGTTACTGATTTCGTCGCTCGGTGTGAGAAGAGCCCAAAGAGGCAGCGAACGGGGAACGGGGAACAGGTGGGCGATATCCAACCCACCCCGCGAATCGGGATCGGACCCGACCGGAGACAACACAGGACACAACCAAGACCGGAGCGGACCGGACACTGGAGACCGAAAAAGATCGAACTCGACAGGATTAGGGTGCCCACAGGGCCCAAAAAAAGAAAGGAAAAAAGAAATGGGCCACCCCCGATCGCAGCACTTCGTGTTGGCCAGTCGAGAAATTGAGAGTGTGACTAGGAGGGTGGGACGCTGGGGATTCTCAAAGGTATACCCTTGGAATGGCCGGATCCAGCCTTAAAAGTACGAGATCGCGCGCGCTTCGCGCGCTGCACCGCCTATTCTCCGGCTGAGTGACGACGCGTGCCGTGTGCCAGCAAAGTTGGGCGCGCGCGGCGCGACGGCGCCCGCGAGGGAAGGCGCGGGTGCAGCGGCCGCCGGCGGCCGTACCGCCCGCCAGCCGGCGCAGCAGCGGCCAGCGCAGCGGCCGCCGGCGCAGCAGCCAGATCAGCCGGTGCGCGCCTTGCGAGGCGAGTACTGCCGCCCGGCAGCCTTACTTTGCGAGCCGTGCGCGCGCCGAGGCGCCCGCGGCGCGCGCCCGCCCGGCTGCCAGTAGGAGGCGGCGCAATATGGCCTATAGTACAGCCCTTGAGGAGGAGGAAGAGGCTGGCTGGCAGTGCTGTATGCCGCCGGGGGGCAGTTTTGGGGTGCTGTCCCCATCCCAGGGGGCTGCAGAAGGCGTCCGCAACCGGGACAACCCGCCCCCCCAGCCGAGGCCGGTCGAAGCCCACTTGGAGGCAGCCATGAGGAGTCCTCTTGGTGCTCCTGGCGCCCGTTGGAATGGCGAGCGCGCGCCGATGGGGGGGGGGGGGGGGTCTTGCTTGCTCCACACCGAGCGCCATCGGTCCGGACCGGTGCCTCCACCGAGGGGTGGCCTGCACAAGGTCTGAGGCTCTGTGTGAGGGGCAGAGGGGCGGGAGCGTGCGGGGCAGAGGCCCAACGTCGGGCGGCTTGTCGGGGTCCGGAGCGTTCGAGGGGGGAACGAGGAGGGGAGAATGGGCGGTCGGCGACGAGTAGAGCGGCAGGCGCGTACGGGGTAGCCGTCACTTTCCCGCCTCGAAAGGGCGGGGCTGTCCCGGAAAGTGAGAAACGCCGGGCAGCGTGACGCATTACTGAACCCTCCCATACGTGCTCGTGCTCCTCCTTCGCTGTCCCATCTCCCCATCTCTTTCCCGCCTGGGGGGGGCGGTGGGCGGGCGCGCGGTGCGGCGTGGCGTGTGCGTGTGCGCGACTGCAACGAGGGACCGCTCGCAGAGGACCATTGGGTTTGTACTATTAACAACGAAGGCGCTCTCAAAAAGAAAAAATAAACCGACGGGAAGCTTTTTTGCGGCAGCTCCTGGCTAGAGCCCGCCGTCTTTGATTGAGCTGATTGGACATGCTTGCGGTCCTAGTGTACGCCCAGAGCCGCCGCTCCACCGGGCGTGCTCCGCCCGTCACCTTTGCCACCGACGTGTGCCTCGCCCACCCACCGGAATGCGATGGGCCTGACCAGTTCACGGCAAGGATGGTCCCCCGCACCTATGCACTGCGGTCAGGCAGAAGGGTAGAGCACCACGCGGGCGTGAGCGTCATGCTTGTCTCCAAGCACGGCGACACGCACGCGTTCGATTGGTCAAACCTGCTCCACTGGTCGAGCGCGATGCTGTACTCCTCGCTCGTTGTGCAGTCCAACAGCTTGGAGCTGCGCGCACGCCTCCGCGCCGCCACCGCCGCCAGCCGCGGCCGCGCGAATCTGAGCGCGCTCGGCCGCACGCTGCTGCCTACGATCCCCGCTTCAACCAGCGTCGTCCGCTGCTCGGGCGCAGAGTCATCAGGCACTCCTGCCTACATGGCCCGCGGCGCTCACAGCGAGATGTTTGCTCTGTTGGCGCAATCTGCCTCCCTCTCGATCGCCAACGCCCTTGGCATTGCGGCGCCGCCGCGGCCACCGCTGGCTCTCTGCACGCCGCGTCTGATTCACTGCTTCGACGGGCTGCTCTCCTTTCAACCGAAGGGCGGCAGCTCCTTCAAGGACCGGCTGGGTCGGTGGAACAGAGAGATGTTGCTCACAGGCCGAATGCAGCAAGCCGGGCCGAACCTCCTGGCGGCTCCCTTCCTCGCCGCGGCCTACCGCCTGGCTGGGTCCTCCCCACCTGCTGTCGTGCTGCCGCGGCCGCGGAGGCGCGTGGTCCTGCTGACGCGCCGCACCCAGTCACGGTGGACCAACCGGCCAGAGGCCGTGAGGGAGCTACGCGCCATCGCTACAGGCGCTGGAGTGGGCTTTGTCGACGCCGGCGATGCGGAGGCTCTTGGCCGGACGAACCTGCCTGGGGGCGGGGCTTGCTACGCAGCTCGCCCACAGCTCGAGCTTTGGCGGGACGCTTGGCTGGTCATCTCGGTTGTCGGTGCTCACGAGTCAAACCTCCTCTTCATGCCCTCGTGGCCGCAGGCGGCGGGGCTGCTCGAATCCACCAACTGCGGTTTCTTCACCGATTCCTACTCAGTGCTCGCGCGAGCCGTGGGCACCGGTCACCACAAGGCGCAGCAGCTCAACGCTCGCGGCCGGCAGTGTCGCCCGTCCACCTCCCAAGACTACAACGTGCTCAACAGCCCACGGGAAATGGACCTCAGGAACGATACCCTCGGCTCGCTGCTCCGTAGACTGGTACTACTTCCTTTCCCGCTCGCCACTAACGCCAAGGGGCTCCTGCCGGGCAAGCTCCACCCATTCCTGGCAGCGCGGCAGGCGTCTCGGGCGCGAGCCAGCATCGGGCAGCCACTGTCCGATGATGGCTCGCAACGATCAGCATGGCAGCGTCAGCGCCTCCGATCAGCATGGCAGCGTCAGCGCCTCCACAGGGGAAGGGGTGCTGGGCGGTTCGCGAGGGTGGCGGCGGCGAGGGCGGCGGCGAGGGTGGCGGCGGCGAGGGTGGAGACGAGGGCAGCGGCGGCGAGGGCGGCGGCGAGGGTAGCAGCGGCAGGGCGTATGGGGTAGTCGTCACCTTCCTGCCTCGCAAGGGCGGGGCTCTCCCGCGGGGAAGCCGGCGTGACGCACATCTTTACCTCCCACTCGAGTACGTGTGTTTGAGTTTGTGCTCCTCCCTTCGCTGTCCCATCGCGTGGGTGTGGTGTCGTATCAAGCGCACCGCGCTCGCAGGAACCGTCCGGATCACGTCGGCCGCATTGCCGTGCCAAAAGGCGCGGAGGCCGCCGCGAGCGTAAATGTCGCGTGCCATGCGCAGCGCTCCGCGCTTGTCCTGCGAGACAATCAGGTTGAGCCTCAGGATATGTCGAGCGGCGCCGCGGCGCCACGACGGTGTTCGAGATGGCGCCAGCCGCCGCCCCGCTCAAGAGGTGCCGCGCCGCGACGCTGCGGTCGCTCCGCGAGGACGGAGGAGCGGATTTGGCGGCGGAGGCGCGCGCAATAGACAGCAGCAGGTAGAGGATAAAACGCGGCGAGCTCATGCCCAGCACAGCAGCTGCTTCGCCGGCAGCGTCGCGTCGAGGCGCGTGCAAGCCGTGGGCCGGTGGGGGGGCGGTCAACAAGAAATCGTCGCGACCTTGCTCTTTTTTCTTTTTCTCTCTTTTCCCCTTGGGTTTGCTCCAGTCTGGCTTGATCTCGTGCGACCAACCGTCTGAGGCCAAGGGCGAGGGGTTGTCTCCAGGCTTCCGTCGCCCACTACATGACCACGCACACATCATCTCGCGGCCTGGCGGTCGGCGCCATCATCCCCTCCCCCATCATGACCTTGACAAACTCCTCGTAGTTCATCTGGCCGTCGCCGTCGATGGCGGCCTCGCGCAGCATCTCGTCCACCTGCTCGTTGGTCAGCTTCTCGGCGCCCGCGAGGTTGGTCATGATGTGGCGCAGCTCAGCGGCGGAGATGAAGCCGCTGCCGTCCTTATCGAACACGCGGAACGCCTCCTTGAGCTCCTCCTCCGAGTCGGTGTCCTTCATCTTGCGCGCCATGAGCGTGCAAAAGTCGGGGAAGTCGATGGTGCCGTTGCCCTCGGTGTCCACCTCGTTGATCATGTCCTGCAGCTCCGCCTTGGTCGGGTTCTGGCCGAGCGAGCGCATCACGGTGCCCAGCTCCTTGGTGGTGATGGTGCCGTCGCCGTCCTTGTCGAACAGCGAGAAGGCCTCAATGAACTCGGCGATCTGCTCCTCGGTCAGCTGCTCGTCGCCCATGATTGCTCGTGTGGTCGTTGGCGGGCCAAATGCACCCTGCACTATCTTGTTGAGCGTCTTAATCTTTGGCAGCTGAGCCTCCTTGTCGCTATCGTTCGTCACGGTGACATCGGGCTTCGAGAGGAAGGAGTGTGCCTGCTGCGGCGTCTTTTTCGCCCACTGGTCGATGAGCAGCTTCGTGAACGACTCGGCCTGCGCAGCGGCGTTCTGGATGCACACGATATGGTGCCGCTCGTTCTTGGTACCCACCGCCGACTTCAGGCCGGAGGGGGTGGGGTACTGCATGGACATCCACGACTCAAACTGAGTCCAGAAGCGCGACACGTACGACATATCGAGGAGGATCAGGACAGTGGTGCCGAGGTAGAGTCGGTTCACCTCCTTGAGCATCCTCTTGAAGGCGGCTTCGTCCTCCGCGCTGCGCGAGCCCTTGGGGAGGTCCTGCGGCATGCAAGCGCTGTCGATCCAGATGCGCTGAATCTTCTTGCCGTCGGGCGAGTTGAGGAAGCCCTTGAGGGCCTTGAGCTGCTCGCCGTCGGGGTCCGGATGGTCTGGCTGCATCCAGCGGTGCGAGACCGCCAACGTCGTCTCAAGGTGAGTGCCCTTCACGACATCGGCGTAGTCGAGCGCCACTTCGACGAGCGGCTCGTCGGTTGTGAACTTATCCCGAATCTCCTGGAAGAATGGCAGACTCTTGCCGGGAAATTTGCGCACAAAGTCAGCGCTCAGCATGGAGAAGGTGCAGGAACCCTCGTCGTCGGACAGCGAGGAGGGGAGCATCTGCTCGGTGGCGAGGCACTTCATGCAACGCATCATTCGCACCGGCGGTACGAGAAATTTCCGTGCTCAACCCGCAGGGTCTTGGTGCTCAGACGCGAGGCGCCACAGGACTGGAGAGCCTTGAGCGCCGCGCACAAGGAATCATGATGAAACGCAGCGCCCCGTTCGCTCCGTACAGTTGTATGCTTTCCGTTCTTTTCTGTTGTAGGTATGTTGTTGGCAAAGGAAGACACAGAGCTCACACAAAATCACAGTGGGTGGTAAGCGAACGAGTCACTTAACAGGGGTCGATTAGTGCGGGCCACCCACCCTGTCCAGAGGCGGAGGTGCCTTTCTGGGATCTTGCGATCGAGTCTATGCAACCCTCGGCCACGCTCTCCTTTCGTGGCTGATAAGCATTCGCAGACCAGGCGATGGAGATGGCGGGGAGCACGGATGTGACTGCTCACCAAGGCGAGGGGGGCACGACACGCACCGACCCTTCTCCTTCACATAAACGCACAACTCCGGACCCAAGACGCACTTCTCCTTCACGAACCGAAAGGCCGTGCCCGGCGTGCAAGGGGCACGGTAATCCGGGCACGTGTTGGGCGCCCCATTCCGTTTAGGGCTAGGTCGGCTCAGGGCCCCGTCCACTTCCCTCCCACCTGGCGCGTGAAGATGAAGAGATGCCACCCAGGCCGGCCGGGCCGATGTGACCAAGCGCTGGTAGCGTGGTTTTACCTCAACACCCACGGTCTCACAGTGTGCCGGCAGTCGCCGAGCAGTGTCGCTCACACAAGCCGCAGCACAAGTGACTGAGGGCCAGTGAGGGCGAGCCCGTCGCTGTGACAGCTGTGGCAGCCGCACAGCAGGCTGTTCCAACTGTGCAGAGCGTGTGAGCAGCAGAGGAGCTGCTCTCCAGGCTTCTGACGCAAAGAGCTGCATGCCACCGAAGGCGCTGTCGAGGTTCGCCGAGCGTGGCGCAGGTTGGAGGACACCGTCACCGACGAGCGCGTTGGACTTTTCACTCCGGACAAAGGGCGACACGCACACGAGCTGCGGCCGTGTCGCCGTCATAGCGGCGAGGCGCGGGACCGTCTGTGGCGAAGTGGGTCGCGTCCTCCGATTTCCGTCAACTCAGCATCCGCACACCCTTTAGAGGTGTCCGTTTTTATTTATATGGATGAATTGAAGTGGCGTGAAGAAACACAGGAGTGCGCCGCCCGCTGACACGGACGGAGCAACGAGACGTGCGAGCGAGCGGCCCAGGCGTCAGAGCGACTCAGAGAGACTGTCGAGGGGGGGGCGCCGACCGCCGCGCCGCTCACTTGCGCCGCCCCTTGCCCGCCCGGCCGCCGCCGCCCTTGAAGGTTTGCAGCGGGTCCTTGCGCCGCTTGCTGCCCCCACCCCCAAAGGCGGACGCGGGGCGCCGCGCCTTGCGGCCGTCGCGCGGCCGGCGGCGGCTGGCCACGGGGGCGACGGCGGCGGTGGCGCCCTCGGTGTCTGGCTTGAGGTAGGCGGGCACGTTCTCGAGGTGGGGCTGGCGGCGGACGGTGGCGAGCGGCTTGTCGTGCCTCAGCGCGTCGAGGTCGTCCGGGTTCGAGGCAAAGTGCTCCGAGAGCCTCTTCGAGTGCAGCAGCTCCTGCTTGATCTCCTTGAGCCGCGCCTCGCGCACCGCCGCGCGCGTCACCGCGCGCATCGCGTCGTCCACGCGGTACCTAGGGGAGGGTGGGTTCGGGTACCGTGGGTGTAGGGGAGGGTGGGTTCGGGTACCGTGGGTGTAGGGGAGGGTGGGTTCGGGTACCGTGGGGGTGGGGGAAGGGTGGGTTCGGGTACCGAAACGCCGACAGCTTGCGAAAGTCGACCGAGAACTGGCGGAGGGCGTCGCCATACTCCCCGCGCAGGGCCTGCAGCAGCGCGGCGTCGGCGGCGTCAGCGTCGTCCACCTGGTCACAGCAGGCGGCGTGGAGAGGCGCCGCCCAGGGGGGCGTCGGGCGTCGGCGGCGAGCGGCGTCGTCCACCATGGAGATGGCGGTGCCGCCCTGCCCCGCACGCGCCGTGCGGCCGACGCGGTGCTGGTAGGTCGGGAGCCCGCGGGGCAAGTCCATGTTGATGACGGCCTGTCTCGGCAGTACCGTCCTGTCTCAGCTCAGCAGGACTGCCCTGTCCCCGCAGTACTGTCTCAGCGTCCCGCCAGAGTCGCGTCTCCCCACTCCACCCCTGTGCACCGCTCGATCGACCGTGAAGTGGACCATGGGTGTGTGTGGCCTCCCGATGAGCTGTCGACTAGCTAGGCGCTGTTCACACCTCTCTGTTCACACCTCCCTGTTCACACCTCCCTGTTCACACCTCCCTGTTCACACCTCCCTGATGAGCTGTCGACTAGCTAGGCGCTGTTCACACCGTCACGTCCCGAAAGTCGACGCCGCGCGAGACGCCGAACTCGGCGTCGGAGGCCGTCGGCGGCGCCGCCGCGGCGCCGCCCCCGCCCTTGCGCTTCCGCTTCTTTCCACCGCCGCCCGCCTCGCCCCCCCCCTCCGCCGCCGCCGCCTCCCCGTCCGCCACAGCGCCGCCGGCCGCCACGGCGTCCGCATGCGCCTGCGCCACGATGCAGCCGAGAGAACGAGGTGCCACCGAGAGATCGATGTGCAGCCGAGTCTCTCGGCTTCGCTCCCGCTGGCCTCTCGGCGACCTCCCCGCGATCTCCCCGCGATCTCTCGGCGATCTCCCGGCGATCTCTCGGCGATCTCTCGGCGAGATCCGATCTCGCGCCTGTGCGGCGGCGCCGCGCGCAGCCATCAGCCTCGGGTCGTCGGTGGCGATGAGGATGTCGAAGAGCCCCTTGTTGAAGGCTTGGATCGCGTGCCAGCGCGACTCCAGCGGCAGCTCGCCTGTTCCGTCGCAGTTGCACCTCTGAGTCAGGACGCACTCCTCGCCAATCCATCACGACACAGGCGGCAGCGCTCGCAGTTGAGCACGCCCGACGACACGCCGAACTGCTCCAAGAAGAGCTTGAGGCGGAAGCCGCGGCTCCACCGCGTTGACGAAGATGAGCGAGCGGCCTGGGATGCGGTTGAGCTTGAGCAGCGCGTACCTGTTGTGAAGGGGAGGGGGGGAAGAGCGACCCAATCCACCTTCTTCAAGCGGCCGGCTGGGACGAGTGACCTGCGATGGTCGACGGCCCGGCTGCACATTCGAGTGTACTTCACGCGGCCTGGGAGGGATCCTCCCCACCCATGCCGACCGTTTTGCGTGCCGGTGCAGCGGGCTGATTGACGGCAACGGAGCGGCGATAGCATGTCGCAAGCACAAGAGCCAGCACGGCGATGCCTGCAAACGAGCCAAGGGCAATCGCGATGATCACACCAACCCTCATTCCGGAATCGACGAGGTGGCGTTCAACATCCGTCTCCAGCCCTTGCACGAGCGGGTCGTAGAGCGCAGAGGACGCAAATTTAGGGAGTCGGAAAGTGAAGACCTGCTTACCACCTTGATAGGTGAGCGCTGGGTACCCTTGCTCCATTGCCCGCCACTCTTCCCCATCGACAAACACCTCGTCCGAGAGTTCAAGGGTGATGTCGTTGCCGCGCTGGGCGTTGGTGGCGAGCGTGTAGCGCTTCTCGCCCGCGGGCAGGGTGCCATTGACCTCGCTCGAGCCTTTGATTTCGATCTCGAGCTCGAGCCCAGCGCCGGTCTTGCCCATGCAAGCCTTTCCCATGTCCGTCGATTGGTCGTTCTCGCCGCTGCAAAAGGGCCAGTTGAGCACGGAGACGGAAAACTTGACCGTGCCGCCAACCACTGCCCACGACTCGTTGTCAGTTGGTGTGATGATGCCGTCGTGCTCAAACACGAGCACATCAACCTGGAGCACGCCGGCGTCGCCGCAAGGGCGGGACTCGAGCCGGCGCCGCTGGGGGTTGGGGCTGCTGCTTGGGCACGTGAGGTCGCACTGGTTCTCGTCAAACAAGGTCACGTTGAAGACAGTCTGCCAGGCAGGCACGCCGTAGGCGTAGGTGCGGGTGGGCGCATACACGTCAAAGTCGGTGCTGGCAAACTGCTCGCGCGAGTGCTTGCAGTTGTTTGGTCCAGATTTCCCGATCTGCGTGCCAGATGCATCGAGCTCGTAGATGCTGTCCATCGTCACGGTGATGCTATTGTCGCCGTTGGAGAGTGTGAGCTTGCCCGACTGACCGAGCACGTCGACAGTCACGCCGCCCGCAGCGAGTGCGCCGGGCGGCGGGGCGGGCGGCATCGGCGGATACGCGGGCGGCGACGCTGTGGGGCTGGCGGTAGGCGAAGCCGTCGGCGACGCTGTGGGGCTGGCGGTAGGCGAAGCCGTCGGCGACGCTGTGGCAGCGAGCGCAAGAAGGTGAGCGAGCATTGCGGGCTGAGGTGTGTATGGGCGTCTTGTGTGGATGGCCAGACCCGCTCTCCTTTGTTGCATGGGACGTGTCCCTATAGCGAGCTGATGCCGTGTCTCGGATAAACCTGATCGACCAGCTCCAATCCTTCATGAGCGCGATCGGATTTTAGCCGATCCCCTCTCTCTTCCGCTCGCGCCCAAAATAAAAGATTCCCGTAACCCCGGACGACGGCAGGCGAGACGAGGAGGACGGAGGCGAGGGCAGAGACAGCGCCGCAGTCGACGGAGGCGACAACGATGGAGAAGGGGAGGGAACGAAAACGCGCACAGAGGATGAGGATATAAACTGGGACGACGCAGTGGGGGGGATAGACGAGGGAATCGAGGGGCCGGAGGGCTTTCGCGACAGCGACGATGACGACGAAGGCAGGGGGGGAGGGGCGACACGCAGGAGGAGCGAAATCGCGAACGGCCCGAGCAGAGAGGGCGACGGCGGAGCACGAGGGGGCAACGGAAACGCTACCAATGACGCGAACCGAGGCACGGGCGACGACGGGGACGGGGAGGGCGACAGCGACGTCGAGGTTGACGCAACGGTATCGAGAGCGCCACCCAAAAGGATGCGGACAGCCATGGAGGTCACCGAATGGAGGGCGAACGGCACGATACGAAAAGGCAGGGCGAGGCGGATGGAGAAAGAAGTACCGAGGAGGCCATGGTGGAGGGGAGGGACGGGAGGACGAAAGAAGGGCGAGGAGGACGAGCGGCCCGCACAGGCCGCGAGCAGACAGCGCCTGCTGACCATCTCGAGACATTCGCAAAGAACGCTAGCTACATGGGAGGGCTTCGTGAAGGATGGATTGAAAAACATTCGAACAAAGAAGAAAGGCGACGGGAGGAACCGGCAGAGGATGCAGTGACGTGACACACACACACACACACACACACACACACACACACACACACACACACACACACACACACACACACACACACACACACACACACACACACACACACACACACACACACACACACACACACACCGCTCACCCACGCGCACCGGGCCTTGCACTTTAAATGCCGTGGGGCTCCTGTCGTTAGACGTGGAGATGCGAGGGTTGCCCCCCCTTGCCCCACCACCTCGTGTGTGTGGAGAAGTTTACCTTACCTTACCTTACCTTACCCCCACACTCGCCACTGCCCGCGACACTCATATGCGACTCCCGCCCGCTCACCTCACCCGAGCCCCGCCGACCAGGCACGGCCCGACGAAAGCCCGTCGAGAAGAAGTGCAGGCAGCCATCGAGAGCCTCCCGGCGAGCTCATTGGCGCTCAAAAGGTCGCGGACCCGCCCGTCGCTTGCCGCCCCTCTCCCAGCCTTTGCCGGCGACGGGATCACGAACCTAGTGCTCAGTTCCGTCTTCCTCCCCCCCCCTCCTGTGGTAGGCCGCCCCGCGCTGGCGGGAAGAGGCTCGCCGAGCCATCGGCGACGTCCCGGCGAGCTCACGGCCGCTCAAAAGGTCGCTCACCCGCCCGTCGCTTGCCGCCCCTGTCCCAGCCGTTGCGCCGGCAACGGGATCACGAACCTAGTGCTCAGTTCCGTCTTCCTCCCCCCCCCTCCTGGGGAATGGCGCTCCAAGACGGGGGTTAGAGGCTCGCCGAGCCATCGGAGATGTCCTGGCCAGCTCATGTCCCCCCAAAGAAAAAGGCGACTACCGGACCGTGGCTCCGCCGGCGGCTCCGCCGTGAGCGGCGACGGTGAGGCCGCCGGTGCTCGCCTATACCGGCTAGTGTGGAGCTCTCAGTGTGGTTGCGTGTTGTACTAGTGATGCTGCACTAGGCGGCCCGTTTTTAGCAAAAAGCAGATACCACATCGCGTGTGGTCGTCGAAAAACCGCATGTTCGCCCGTCTGGGACCTCTTCGTACGGCTCCAAAAACCGCTCCTTAACGACGACTACGCGGCACGGCGGTCGATCTGCGCCTTCTCAGCGGTGGAGGGGATGTGGGTGGTACATGCAAACCGCGTGATGCTGCGATGGTTTGACGAGTGTGACTCCCAGCGTCGACTTCGGTGGGCCGCGCCGGAGCTCGCAAAGCTCGAGAGCGCCGGCGTCGTCGTCACCCGGCTCGGCGGCGATGGCGGTGGCGGCGGTGGAAGCGCGGGTGCCGCGGGGGGGCGGCTGCGCGCGGCGGACCTCACGGGCGGCGACGTCGGGCGCGGGGCGCTCAGCGGCAGCACGGTGCTCTACGCGGGAGGGCCGACCTTTTGCGGCCAGGTGCTCGGGGCGCTCAAGAAGCTGGGCCACGCCGACGCCTTCGAGTACTGAGCGAATGACGCCCATGTGCCATGATCACTGTACCGGGGCTACTTTAATTACGTGTTTGTATAGAGTGAGGAAGTCAATAGAGCTGTCATCCTCTCAAGAGAGCGGAGCCGTGGAGGGGGGGTCCCGCAGAGAGCAGGTATTGTTGACACGGTCACGTGACAAGACAGGGGCACCAGGAGGCTAGTATTTTCGGTACTCACAAGCGCATGAATTCTCGCCACCGGACACTCACCGACCACCCGGCCGAACTTCAGAGTCGCGGTGCTCCTCAAATACCGCTCAAACGCCCACGATGTTGTGGAGGGGACATATGCTGATGATCCTGGCCCGATTGGCTCGCTCAGAAAGCTTCTGGGCGGTCGTTAAGGTTCGCTCCCCGCACACCGGCCCCGGAATAAGATACATCATAGATGCCGTGGGGCTCCTGTCGTTAGACGTGGAGACGCGAGGGTTGCCCCCCCTTGCCCCACCACCTCGTGTGTGTGGAGAAGTTTACCTTACCTTACCTTACCTTACATCCACCTCGAGAACCTCGAGATAGATGGGGGGAGGGGGGGGCAGAGGTTCGCCGACGGTGCATGTAGGTCGGCCCAAGCCACATGAAGTGGTTGAAGTCGTTCTCGCGCCTCCTCTCATCACCGCCGCCGCCGCCATCGCCGCCGCCGGAGAGAGGAGAAAAGGAGCTGTGGCCACAGCTGCTGCTGCTGCTGCTCACGCTCTGTGTGGCGAGCGCTGGAGCACTCTACCTCCTCGTGCTCCAACGCAAGCGACGCGTGCGCGCACTGGTGGGCCACAGCAAGAAGCTCCACGCCCTGGAGGGCATGCTGCGACGGCTGCACCGCACGCCTCACCGCGAGCTGCTCGTCCTCCGAGGCGGCCTGCTGCTCCGCGGCTACTGCCCGCAGACGCCGCGGCAGCCGGCCGACCTCGACTTCCTGGGCGAGCACGAGAACGACCTCGAGGCGACGCTCGCAATGCTGCGCGACGTCTGCACGGTCGCAGTGGGCGACGGGCTCGAGTTCGACGCGCAGGGCGTGGTGGGCGAGCGCACGTGGACCGAGACCGAGCACCCGGCCCTCAAGGCGAGCGTGCCCTACCGGCTGCGGTGCGACGCGGGGTGGGAGACGTGCAGCGTCGACGTCGGCTGGGGCGACCCGCTGGTACCGCCCGCGCACGCAGTAGCGCTGCGTGCCGTCGTGGGCGGCCGCGTGCCGTGCGCCCGCGCCGCGAGACTCGAGACTCTCTTCGGGTGGAAGTTGCATGGGCTGTTTGAGCGCGAGGCGGCAGGGCTGAGCGCGCAGGGCATCCCCAAGGGCTACTGGCGTCCGAAGGACCTCTTCGACTTGTATCTGATGGCGCGTTGCGGCGCGCTGGACGCCGCGCTCCTCCCCGCCGCCGTCGAGGTGGCCTTTAGCTCGCGCGGCTACCCGCTCTCACGCGTGGTGCGCGTGGCGCACGGCCACTTCGCCTCGGGACCGACCTCCAAGAAGAACTGGGCGCGCTGGCGCGCCTCGCTGCTCGACGCGCACGGCGGCGCGCTGCCGCCCCACACGCTGGCTGTGCCGGCGGAGCCTGCGCCGTGCGTTGCGGCGGTGGCGGCGCCGTGCGCGGCGGTGCTGCGCGCGCTCGGGTACGCGGCGCTGCCGGGCGAGGAGACGCCGATCGCGCCCGCGTGGCAGGTGCAGCAAGTGGAGATGGCGCAGCGCGAGGCGGGCCGCCGGCTGCTGCCGCGCCGCGCGCCGGCGGCCGCCGCCGTGCCGTCCGCGCCGGCGCGCGAGGCGTCGCGCACCGCGCCGGCGCCCGAGGCATACTTCGTGCTGTGCGGCGCCAACCCAAGCAAGTGGGAGGAGGCGCGCAAGGTCCTCGCCGAGTGGGCGACGCTCATCGTGCCCTCCGAGTACAAGCCGCCCGAGGCGCTGCGCTTCCCGCCGGGCCTCGCCACCGGCGCCGTCAGCCCCGCCGACGCGGCGCGCGGCCTCGCGCTCCACTGCCACGCCGCGCTCGGCGCGCCCGTCATCGTCGACCTGGTCTACCTCGAGCTGTACAGCGCCGACGCCGCCCACGGCGGCCGGCTCTACCACCGCATCGGCGCGGCGGACGAGCGCGCCTTTGCCAAGGCGCACGCGGGCGCCGCGGGCGCGATGCGCGCCGTCGTGGCGTACACGGCCGACGGGCAGCGCGTCGAGGTGCTCGAGGGCGAGCTCGAGGGCCGGGTGGTCCACCCGGTTCGCGGCGCGGCGCCGTACGGCTGGAACCGCTGCTGGGAGCCCGACGGCTGCGCGCAGACGCTGGGCGAGATGGGCTCGTCCTTTTACGCGATCCACCCACGGCTGAAGCCGCTGCTCGAGCTTGCGTCGCGGCTGCGCTCCGAGACGGCGTACGGCGTGCTTGAGGGGAACCGCGGGCTCTTCGAGCTGCACGTGACGGTCGACACACCGACCGAGGCGCAGGGCGGCCTCGCCACCTTCCGCGAGGCGTGCGCCGCGTGCAAGGTCAAGGCCGTGCTCATCGAGAACTCGCTCGTCGAGCCGGCGGCGAAGAGCGCACGGCCGACGCAGCTGATGACGGCGTCGTACGTCAAGGGGACGCTGCCCGAGGTGCACGTCGCGGCCTTCCGCCTCTCGCAGCGGCTGGTGGGGTACGGCTTCAGCGTAAGCCGCGTCAAGATCGAGAGCACCTTCTCCAACCCCGGCGTGCCGCACACCGACGCCGAGGCCGCCGCGCTCTCGCCGCACAACTACTGGGAATTCCACTGGAAGCTGCGCCTCCCCGCCTCCTACGACCACGCCGCGCTGGCCGCGCTCGTCGGCACACACGACGCGCGCCTCTCGCGCTCGGCGCTGCGCAGCCTCGGCGGCGGGTACCACCACCGCTTCGTGACGCTGCGGCTGTACGACATGGGGCGCAGCTCGGCGCAGCAGCGGCTCGAGGCGCTGAGCGCAGCGCTCCATGCGGCGCAGCACGAGGTAGGCACCGTCATCCGCGAGTACGCCGTGTACGACTCGAACGTCGAGCTCGACGCAGGCTGGATCGACAAGCCGCGCCACCTGCCCGCCCAGCCGCCGCCGCCGCCGCCCACCGACCAACCGGCCGCAGCCGGCGGCGGTGGCGGCGGCGACGATGCCGCCGCTGTGGTCGACGGCGTTGACGACGGCGCGGGCGGCATGGAGTGGGTGCAGGCCGCACCGCCAGAGGCGGCGGGCGGGCTCGGGGCGGCAACGCGGCCGGAGGAGGCGGCGTGGCCGGCGGGCGGCGAGGAGCGCGGCTACCGCGAGAGGCTCGCCGAGCTGGTGCGCAGCGTCGCGTGGCGGCCGCGCCACCCCGCGCGCGGCGCCGACCTGCCGGCGCTCGTGCGGGCGCTACGCGCCGCGGCGGCGGCGGGCAAGGTGAGCGTGGCCGAGGGCGGCGGGCAGGAGACGGCGACCATCTACCACTACCGCGAGAATGTCAAGGAGTGGAGCGGCGCGCTGATGCTCGCGCGCGGCCTGGTGGTGCGCGAGCCGCGGCACGGTGCGGCGCCCGAGCTGCTCGCGACGCCCTTCCCCAAGTTCTTCGACCTCGGAGCCGACGGTGTCTCGCTCGACGAGCTGCTGGCGCGCAGCGTCGCGTGGGAGGCGACCGAGAAGCTCGACGGCAGCCTCGGCCTCCTCTTCCACGATGGCGGCGCGTGGCGGCTCACCACGAAGCGCGCGTGGCACTCGGAGCAGGCGGCGTGGGGCCGCGCGTGGCTCGAGGGGCGCGCGGTGTGGGCCGAGCTCTCACGCGGCACGACGTACGTGTGCGAGCTGCTCTTCGCCTCCAACCTCGTCGTGGTGCGCTACCCCGCCTCGCGCGAGGGCGTGACGCTCTGCGCCGCCTACGACGCCGACGGGCGCGAGCTGCCGCGTGCCGAGCTCGCCGACCACGCGAGGCGTGCCGCGCTGCCACTCGTGCCGCTCGTCGCCTCCGGCCGTGGCGGGGCCGCCGCCCACGACAGCGCCGCAGCGGAGGGCGCGGCCGACGACGCCGACGCGCCAGCGGGGCCGGAGCGGCTGCGGCGGCTGGTGGCCGAGGCGGCGGCCTTCGACGGGCGGGCGTGCGAGGGGCTGATCGTGCGCTTCGCCTTTGCCGACGGCGGCTGCCACCGCGCCAAGGTCAAGTCGGACGACTACCGTCGGCTCTACCGGCTGCAGGACAACCTGACGCCGCGCGCCGTGTGGACCGCCGCGCGCGCCGGCGGCGGCGCGCTCGACGAGCTGCGCCGCGGCGCGCCGCCCGAGTTTTCTGCGTACGTCGCCGCCGTCACCGGCGCCGTGATGGGCGGCGCGGCGACGGCACTGGCCGAGGCGCACCAGGCCGTCTCGCTCGCAGCGGCCGCGGGGGTGACGGACGACCGCTCGCTCGCGGCGTGCCTGAAGGGCCGCACGCACTGGGAGGACGGCTCGCCCGTCACCGCGGCGCAGCGCCGGCTGGCGCACCACGCGTGGGGCGGCAAGCTGGGGGGCCCGCCGCCGGCCGAGGGCGAGGCGGAGGGCGAGACGGCAGCGCGGCTCGAGGCGATGGGCACCGCGCCGCGCCTCGCGCTCTTCTCGTGCGTGGCGGTGCCGGGCGCGGGCGAGGGCGGCATCGGCGAGGCCGTGCGCACGGCCGACGGCACGCCTCTGCTCAACCACCGGCGGCCCGCTTGGTGAGCGCACAGTACGTCCGCGTTCAAATCGTAGTTTACGTTGCACACATCCTTTCGTATGGTCTTTAAACTGAAATTGCCCAGCGCCTCGACTTACACGGTAGAAAGTGCAAACTTTCAAAGAGTTCACATCAACAGCTTGTTCATGCCGAAGCCGACGAAGGCCCGCGCCTCCTTCGTGGCTGGCTCCGGCACCAAGTGCCCTCGCGAGCTGGCGGAGCCGGTCCAGCTCATCCGCATCGCGCCGGAGAGCAACACGCTGGTCGTCAGCAGCGTGCAGGCATGCACCAAGGGCATCTGGATCTGGGGCGCGCCGATCCACCACGAGGCGGGCGCAGCGGCAGTGGGCGCGCCGTCCAATTTGCTGCTGATCGACACGGAGGGCCTCTCGTCGATCGAGCAGACCGAGGGTCACGACGCGAAGATCTTCTGTCTGGCAATCCTGCTCTGTCCATCTTCGTGTACAACTCGGAGCGCGCCATCAACTCGGGCGCGATGGACCAGCTGTCGCTCGTGGTGCAGCTGATCAAGCGGATCCGCGTCAACGCGGAGGATGCCGAGGGCGCGGGCGGCGCGCTGCTGGCCGAGCACTTCCCGCAGTTCGTGTGGCTGCTGCGCGACTTCCAGCTCGACCTGCTCGACGAGGCGGGAAGGCCGATCTCGGAGGACGAGTACCTCGAGGACTGCCTGCGGCAGAAGCCGGGCAGCTCGGCGGCGGTGCGCGAGCAGAACGAGACGAGGGCCGGGCTGACGGCGCTCTTCCGCCACCGCAGCTGCATCGCGCTGCCGCACCCGACGCTCGGCACGCCGCTGCCGCCCGAGGCGCTCAAGACGCTGGGCGACTGCGCGCTCGCCGAGCTGGCGCCCGCCTTCCAGCACGGCGTCGGCAGGTTGCAGGCGGCGGTGGTGGGCGCGATGCGCAGCAAGAGCCTGCACGGCACGAAGCTCGACGGCCGGATGCTCGTCGGGCTCGCCGAGGCGTACGTGCGCGCGATCAACGACGGTGCGCTCCCCACCATCTCGACCGCGTGGGCCGGCGTCGTCGCCGCCGAGAACGAGCGCGCGCTCAAGGCGGCGACCCAGCTGTACCGCGAGGGCGCGGCGGCGGCGGCGCAGCGCGAGCCGCCGCCCTCGGTGGAGGAGTGGCACGAGACGCACCTCGAGCTGAGCGACGCCGCGCTGCGCGCCTTCCGCGCCGCGGCGGTGGGCGAGGCGGCGGCGGGGTTCGAGGAGCAGCTGCGCGAGGCGGTGCGCGCCGAGGGCGAGGCGCAGCGGTTGCTGCTCGCGGCGCGCTCGGAGGCGCTGTGCACGCGCGTGGCGGGCGAGCTGGGTGCCGAGCTGGGCGCGTACGGCCGCGCGCCGCCGCCCGCCGAAGGCCACGCCGTCGCGCTGCCGGCGCTGCTGCGGCGCGTGCTGGGCGAGTATGACGCTGCGGCGGCGGAGGTGGAGGCGCTGCCGGTGGTGGGCGACGTGCTCAAGCAGCTCGAGGCGGCCAACAGCGTGAGCGCCGACACGTACGAGGGCAAGCTGCTGCGGCTGGGCAGGGAGCTCGACGCCGCCAAGGCCGAGAAGCGAGGCCTCGCCTCCGAGAAGGCGGCGCTGGCGCAACAGCTGGAATCGGCGGCCACGCGCGCGCCCGCCAAAAAGAGCGGGCTCTGCGGCTGCCTCGGCGGCGGCAAGGCGCCGCCGAGGCCGAGGCCGGCCGCGGCGCCGGCCTCCGCGCACGAGAGCGACGAGCAGCTTCACGACGACTACACCGCCCTGGGGCCCAGGAGCAGTGCGGGCACGGGCGAGAACCAACGCTACTCTGGACATATCTAGTATATCAGCGTGCCTCAGGATACGCCTCTCTGCTCATATCGACTATGGAACGGTGTACGAACAAGTGCCACACGCATAGTATTACGCCCTGCGCGTGGGTCTCGCGCTACACGAGGCGCATGGGCTTCTTGTTGACGGCCGACCTGCCCGCTCCTGAAAGCGGCTGCGCGGTGCCCTGCTCGTCGACGTACACGTGCGGCGACTCACGGCAGGTCGAGATGCGCCGTCCGTAGCTCGAGCGGCCCGTCTGGTTGCACTGCATCTGCAGCGAGAGCTCGGCGACCATGTACTGGTTGCACATCTCGCCGTTCTCGTCGGAGCCGTAGCCCGACGGCCGGGCGCTCGCCGCGTTGTCGTACACGCAGTGCAGCTGGAGCGTGTCGCCCACGCGCAGGTACTTGGGCTCGGGGAACTTTCGGATGATCTGCGGGTGCTGCGAGCTGATCAGGCCGAAGGGCTCGAGCGCCTCGCCATCCGCGCTGAAGTGGTCGCTCCAGATGTCGCGGCCCAGCTTGTGCGCGTGGTTGCGCCAGCCAAAGACGCGGCCGCCCGACACCACCCTGCATGGTGGCGCTGCTGGAGGAGCTGCGGCTGCTGGAGGCGGTGGGCGCGCCGCTGGCGGAGGCGTATGTGTCGAGTCTCTCCGCCCTCGCCTCGCTTGGCGCCTCGGACCTCCGTGCGCAGACCGGCCTCACCCTCGGAGCCGCGACCAGGCTGCGCGCCGCCGCGGCAGAGGAGGACGAGCGGCTGCTGGAGGCGGCTGCGGCAGCCGCGGAGGCGGAGCGTGCGCGCGTGGCGGCGGCGCAGGCCGCAGCAGAGGCCGCGGCGGCAAGGGACGGCACGCCGCCAGCGAGGCCCCCAAGAATGGCGCGGCCGACAGCAAGCCGGTGCTGGCGGAGAACGGGGCGGCGGAGAACGGGGCGGCGATGCGGGCTGCCGAGGCAGTTGCTGCGACGAGGACGAAGCGCGAGGCGACCCACGGCGAGAAGATGGCGTCGAGCTACACCTGCGCCGTGCGCCCCGCGTCGACGACGAGCAGCGACGCGGGCGGCGCGGGCGTGGCGCGCAGCTGGCGCGCGCCCAGAGCTCGTTCTACGTTGCCGAGTGAGTCGAGGCAGTGTCCATTACGGCTCTAGCATTACCGGGAGTCGAAGCGCGCGCAGAGTCTTTTAGCAGAGTCTCTTGCGTCTCTTGGCTCGAGGTTGCGTAGATTTTGTGCGCGAGGTGTCGTGTAGTAGCGGCTCGGCGCAACGACGGACGGACGTAAAGTTTACCACTCAGCAACACGAGACGGAGGGTGTTGAGTGAGGGCTACGGTACTGATGTCTCGCGCGCGTTCTGAACGCGTCTCACAGGGGACACCCCTCATGTCTCCACACATACTACTCCGAGACGGCTTACTTGGGAGACGCAGGCACCTGTGGCCCACCTGTGCAGCAGCGGGCGTAGTCGGCTGCCAGCTGCCTCCGCGCCTCACCGATGGCCTGTCCCACCCGCCGGCCCGCCAAGCCCGCCGCAGCCTCGAGCACGGGCCCGCGCTCCTCGGCGGCGAGACGCGCCGCCACCTCGTCTGCCGCCTGCGACGCCAGCTGCTGCGAGAGCTGGGCGCCTGCGCGGCGCAACCTCGCGTCCTGCGCCTCGGCGCCACCCAGGCCACCGTCCTGCGCGTCGTCGCTCGCGGCGCGGCTCGCCAGCAGGAGCCCGAGCGACGCGAAGCCGCTGCACGCGCCTCGCTCCGCACGGTCGACGGCGCTCTGCAGGTCGGCCACCAGCACTCCCGCCGCCACGGGCCGCTGCGCCTTCTCGGCCCTCGCCTCGCCGCGCCTGCGCTGCGCGTCGGCCATCGCGTCGGCCATCGCGTCCGTCGGTTCGAGGACCCACGGCCAAAACTCGAGGCGTCTGAAGCAGAGGTGCAGGTGCGGCCACAGCACCGTGCGTTGCTGCGCGCGCGGCAGCCAGCGGCCGTCGGGGCCGCGCTCCGCCAGCTTCTCCTGGTGCCAGTCCATCGCGAAGAAGCGCTCGCCCTCGAACCGGCGCCCGCCGCAGCTGAGGGTGGCGTAGATGTTCAGCCCGAAGCCGTGGATCTCGCCGTCGCGACCCGTGTACGCGAGCGCGATCAAGTGGAACGGCGCGAGCCAGCAGAGAGCCGTCAGCGCCGTGGCCGCGGCAACGGCATGGAGATGGGACACGGGGTGCGCACGGGGCACAGCAAGCAACCACGCCAGCAGCACGGGCAGATAGCCCCACGCGCTGAGGCCGATGTGGGAGTACTCGAAGAGGTGGTCCGGGTGGAAGCCTTGTAGGCGCTTGCTCACGACGACGAGGCGCGTTCCGACGTCGATGTGCGCGCCGCGCGTCGAGAGCCGAACGCTCCCGCGCGACTGCGACTTGACGAGCAGCTCGAGCGCAAGGTGCACGGAGCCGAGGTGGAGCAGGAAGGCGAGCGCACAGCCTGGCACCGTGGCTCGCGGCTCCAGGGCGAGCGTCGCGAGCCAGTGCAGAGCGAGGCACAGCGGCGGCAGGAGGAGGAAGGAGAGCCGCACAGGCATCTCGGCAACCAGTGCGCTGCTTCTCTTGCTCTCAAGAGTCTCTGCTGCAGGGCCGTGCGGCAACCACTGCGGCTCTCTTGCTCTCTTGCTCAGGGCCGAGCGATTGCGAGGGCTTTCCGGAGGTCTTGTCGGCGCCATCGACTGTGAAACGTCCCGACCCACACCCCTCATGCACCAGGCGCATGGATGCAGTCATAACATGTAGGCCTTCTCTCCCGAAGTTTGGAGCAATAGCCGCAAACAGTACTTTTTGGCACTTCATCGCGACACGTCCAGGTGCCGCCAAAGCGGCTTCCCAGCTCACCACCTCGCCTTCTCTGTCGCTCTCCTGGCCCAGGCCCATCAGTAGCAAGCCCAAGCCGTCCCAAACCGCACTTATCTTGGGTGATGAAGCTCACTCTGGCTCACACCACGGCTCTGCAGCCTCACACACGCCCGTTTCAGCCACAGACACCGCCGGCACGCACTCCCACTTCACACATGCTCAAACACAACCCCACCAAAGCACAGCCCTGATCAGAATGGACAAGGGCTACCACCAGGTGGCCCTGGTAGCCTCTGGCTCGCCACTGCACTCGGCTCCTCTGCAGCGGTCTCGGCTCTCGCCACGACAGCACGCCGACGGCAAGCGTTGAGGTCCGTCTGGTGGACCTGCTGTGGCCACAGCCGCCCCTCACATGCAGCTCGCACCATGACTCGACACCGGGCCCGCTCATCTCGGTCGTGGCGGCGTGTGTGAAGGATGCGCGGCCGAGCCGCTGGCTGGCACCGCTTGCGACGTCCGAGATGGCCGCAGCACAGGCCACGCGTCGCGCCGCCGGCCAAGCCCAGCCTCTCGGCGGTCGAGTTGGTCATACATGGACATCTCTACGCAACATCGGAAGATCCTTGGACTGTAGATCGTAGATGCCTTTTAGAGATCTCTTAAGTGGCAAATCTCCTGCCAAGAGCAGCAGTAGATTGAAGAACTGGTGGAGGCAAATCTTCTCGGGGAGCCTCCGGCGCCATTTTAATCTGCGCTCCTCTTCATGGGCTGCGGCGCCTGGCTTGAGCT